GCTGTGGTGAGTTCGCCGTTCGCCGGCATTGTATTTCAGCTATTAGTTAACATCTTGTCGTCATAGCGACGATGGAATTAACAGCGTTAGCCTAGTGAAAATACTGCTGAAGTAACAGAGCCAGCGCCCTTGCTTGCCTTACCGCTAGTGCCATAAATTCAAATTGGTTGGATAGTCGACATGCGTCTTCTGTATACTGTTTATTCTGTACTTAAAGTAACCAAATTAGACGAATATTTTAATTTCTAACCATTTGTCGCTATTTGGACCGACATTTTTTCAATTTGAATCGTAATATCTCCACAACAAGAGTTTTCCCAGATATAAGCTATATACCAAATGAAAGCTAAGGTTTTGGGCTAGACTTGAGGAAACTTAGAATAAAATCGACTGACCAGTTTAAGTTTTTTTAAGAAGTTTTACTTCTAACACGAGTACGGTGCTGTACTCGCCTTTTTTAACCGACTTCCAAAAAAGGAGGAGGTTATCAGTTCGTCGGAATCTTTTTTTTTTTTTTTGTTTTTTATGTATGTTACCGCATAACTTTGGACCACGTCAACCGATTTCGATAATTCTTTTTGCATCGGAAAGGTAGTATCTCAGAGGTGGTCCGATACTAATCTGGTTAAGATCCGATATATATATATATTTTTTTTTTTTATATGAGAGTTGAAGTCGGTTTTTTTTTTGCTAAAAATTACTTGTTTACTGATGCGTTTTTGCTCAGTGGCAATTTATACATAATTAGTAGCGGCACATAAAGTAAAATAAATGCATTCATACATAAGTACATATGTATGTACAATACGGTTGTCCAAACACAGTAAAGTCGGAATTGTAATGCTCTCACCCCCTAGGATTGTTCTATATCGAAAAAAAGTATAACCCTATTTTTTATTTTGAAATCAAAAAATATTTAGAGGTCGCTCAAAGCGCTCAAAGTTTTCCATGTATTTTTATATGGGAAAAATAAAATTTTTCGTAGAAATGGTATAGAATAGTTAAAAATCAATATTTTTCTACCAGAAAACTCTTCTTATCTGCAGGAGATTCCCAAAAATAATACCATTTTATTGTACAAATGTAGGTAATAATGTAAGCGTCTTCCCAGGTAGGTTAAGTGCGGGTATAGTTGAATACTGTGTACATCAAATATCCCGCCCACGATATCATTGCATTCACACTGAATGCGTACATACATGTATACTTATGTATGTATAATGTATGTACAAGAAAACAAAGAAACTAGCAAAAATAAAAAAATTCTTACTTATTTATTTATGTATCGCATGCAGGGAAGTCAACTCGCGGGAAATTCCGCCGATTTGCAGGGAATTTCCGTTTAGGTGGCATCGGGGAATGGACATTTTTTTGTGGGAAAGTGGATATGTTACGTTTATAACTTAAAGTAACCGAATTAGACGAATATGTTAACTTTTAACCATTTTTCGCTATTTGGAGCGACGTTT